CGTCAGTTCAATGTACTTGCATTTCAGGATTAATGCTCATTTCGGGACTCGAACTCAGTACCGTTCGCTTCAAGCACTATCATGCTATTCACTTAGCTACTGAATCAAGATAACTACTAACTTTTACAATGGGGTGATATTTAATTCATCTTGTATTGATTATTTGAATCGTTCTATTGATGTTTGTGATTAAAATTGATCAGTCCCGGAGTACACATCAACTTTCACATGCAAGTAGATCTGGCTGATGAGTCCCAAATAGGACGAAACGCGCTTCCTAGATTCCACCGCTAGCCACCATTCATCTCTGTTTATAATGATTGTGACCTAAGGCAAGATCGAGGCAATCTGAACAGTATGAACATATGCCAATAATAGACCGATCAATTGCCGTTCTTAATATTAGTGCGAATATTCAAACAATCCATCCAAAAATGAATGAATGATATAATTTTGAAAACACATAGTAATTGGTTGATTAATTAGAAGAAATAATCGTGCATGCTATTTCTTGATAAGATTATTTCATTACTTATTTATTATTTTATAATATTTACAATGAATGAATAATCAGATTTGCATGATATGAAAATGTTTGTTGTAACGAACTAACATCCACCTGAAAACCCACTATAGATCAAATAAAATTGAATACGGATCGCCATATCTTGTACTCGGTTCTGGATGAGATTGGTGATATACGCTACTTAAAAACAAAACAGCTTCTCAATACATTTTGATTTACAATGTATTCTTGAACAAAATGTCAATTTTACAATGAAAGTTTATAATATTTGCTATTTTAATAATAAATATATATTTGTTATATCCCAATGAGTAGAAAAATTGTATTGCTGACTTAATGTAGGCCACTTCTTCAGAGTAAATTTACTCTGAAGAAACGTCAGGAATACAGTTTTCCTACTCACTGGAATATAAGAAAAATGTATTTATTATTAACTCCCTACCTAATGATCCATTCATTTGAAACTATCACGTCCGACCTTGGTATTGATACTTATTTGTTATTTTCTTTAATATTTCTAATAATATGTCGCACGGATTTCATAAGTGTTGTGACGGGCGATGTCCAAAATACTGATATACTGTGTGCTAGGCGCTAACCACCCAACTGACTACTTCCGTGAGAACACAAGAGTGAGCGAGAAAGCATACTGGACTATGGAATGAAATATACATATACTCATTCATATATATACCACTTTATCCTTATGAAATTAACCCATTCCCTAGCCAATCAAATGAATTTGCCCACTAGGTCACTTGATTACCATCGATTGACCTTCTCATTAGGCTACTTCTGATTGGCTCTGCATATTAATAAGCTGAGAAAATAAAATGAAATTTAGTGTTGTTTTCATGCACTATTAACCTGATTTCTTCAGTCTAGTGGTTTTATTTCGTATGATAATTAAAATATCATTTTTTTAAATAAAAAAATTTGTTTTCACGATTAACAACTTAACTAAAAATTTTGTGCTGCAGTCTAATTAACAAATTATAAGACAAGTAAATTCTCTTGAATGAAGATATATACGTTATGTCTAGTATAAAGTTGCCATTTTCAGTATGGTGAACCTCATCAGTATAGAAATAACTTTCAAAATACTAATAGATAGTAATAAGATCTAAGTTGATAGTCCATGGTCACATATTATAGAACTACTTATACAGTAATAAAATCATTTATCAGATTTTATAAAATATAGATGGAATAGAATCAATTTAAAAGAATGTAGTTACGTTACTAGAGAGATCAGAAATACAATACGCTTATTAGTATTTAATAGTTATATAAGCAGATTTCTATTTTTGTTGAAATTAACGTTGTGTATATCATCATTAAAAAATTCTGTATACACCAACTAGTTTATAAAATGTATTTATCCTTCGAGATGCAAATCAATGGTATAGATAATTAAAGTCTGAGAGAATTCATAATTTAACACAATTTAGATAATGTATAATTGAAGATTTATTTCCAGAATATAACCACTGTTATTAACTTGATAGTTATGAGAATATAATGAATATAATTAACAATGACGTTGACCAAAATTGAAAGAAGTATGCGAAGTTTCCTTAGAATAGGAAATAATACTCTTTCCCTACACTGTGTTTTTAAATTATCCACTAGTAAGTTGAGATAAATTTGTTTCCTTATCAAGTAGCTAACATTATGTGTTGCCGTGAACTAGTATTAAAAGTAACTTACCGTCAGAAAGATTCTTAGTAAATAAGGATTATATACATTCTGAATGAATGATACATTTTCAAGATTATTTTGTCAGTAAATTTCCATTACGTTAATTTTAGCTTTCTTATTATAAATTATTAAACGATTCAGAACTATCATTTTCCAGTAATGTATTATAGAGTATTTATACTCGACATAAAAATGAAGTAATCACTTTTGAAGAACTTTTAAAGATTCACTATCTACCAATTTCTATATTGTTTTAAGTTCATCATTAGTTTTAGATTTTATTTTGTTTACTGAAAAACCAACTGTAAAAAAAACAAGGACAATTATCATATGAAATCATTGGGAAATTTAAAGTAGTAATTGGGTTTATAGATTTTTAAGGAAGTTCTTCGTTTTTGCCTATGAGAGAAATAATCGTTTTCTACTCAACTAAACCAAAATATTCCTTTAGAATTAGATTAAGATTGGTTTCAAATGTATGTGGAAGAATGTTTATAACTAACAGTATGTCTTGTGATTTGAAAACAACTATAAAGAGAATGTCGTATCCTTCATCTTACCAAAAGTTCATAAATGATACTTACGGAAAAATCTACAAAATGATCCTATTTTCATAGAGTTAAGAAATATATATATATATATATATATATATATATATATATATATATATATATATAGTATAATTATAATAGAAAACTGAGGAACACAGCTAAAAACATAATGTATTGTACTTTAATGCATACTTATTAACATGCATATTCTATTGATACTTGGAATCCAAACAAAATAATATAGTTTTCTATGATAATGATTTCATAGATTAATAATAAGTTTTACTTCAATATAGTATTCAATCATAGAGTTGAATATGTGAGTAGAAAAAGCTCAAAACTAATTACAACAGGTTCTATTCTGAGAATAGTTTACTAAACCAAAAAAGGCTATATACAAATCTATTTACTATTCATTTAGTTAGTATTTAGTTTATTGAAAACTAAGACGTATTCAATAATACATAATAATGATAAATAACTTTAAACTAATAAGAAGAAATGCTACGTAGGAATTTCAAAATAAACTATTTACAATTGATTAATCATGAAAATAAACATTTCTGGAATCTACAATGTGAATAATATCTGACATATTTTACACAATGTAATATAAGAAAACGACTGAATTCTATATTATTGTTGTCAGTATAATCTATTAATATTTCAAGTTATAGAACAATTTACTATTTGATGAGAAAGTAAACTATTATGTATAACAATATTGAGTAATTTAGTTCAATTAATGAAGAGGTTTAGTTTAATATAACAAGTAATAAACACTAAAACAATACTTAATAATTGATTAATAGAAAGTAAATAGTATAACCCAATTATAAAATTCCATTAAAATATTATTTAAGTACTAAAGAATAGGTGAGTAAAACCTAACCACTGACTATATTATGACAGTTAGCAGGAACTTAAAGGTTTGTTGTCTATCTATCATGTTTGGGACATACAGAATCGAAGTATGTGACGGCACTTCTTCACTGTTAAATACATCACACATAAATTTTTAAAATGTTGTTTATGGAATATCAAACGAAAGTATTCATATAGAAATTCCAACAATCAGTCTATGCACATATTAAGCTCTATAACTCTAGATTAAATTTTATAGTCTATATGATGTTAATTTAGTTTCGTATTGTATGAAACTAAATAGCTAAGTTAATTTCTTAAGTAGGCAATTAAAACGTGAGTTATTTTATGCATTCCACATTATATGCTATAATGATACACAGACTCAAGTTTTAAGTTGTACCACATTTATTATGAGAGTCCGAAAAATTTATTACACTGCATAATTCAAAATAAGAGGTTGCATTCAATTTCTGTAACACCACAATATGTAATTTTAGCGCTGAAATCACTGAGCCACGTTCATATCTGCATAAAACAGTCCACTTATTTACTTAATATTAAATTCTCAAATATAAATAAAACGTAATTTGACGTGTCAAAAAAGAAGACTATACCATTTCCACATTAATATTACTAAATTAAAATGTATCCAAAATTAGACACAGTTAAAACAAGATTATTACTGTCCATTAAGATATACTTTTTATCTATGACTAATGACTATATCCACTAAAAGTAGCTATAAATAAAAGGAATTTATGAAGAAAGCCTCTATTTGATCTTTGGTACTCGAGATATAAGTGAACACGGTTGAAGAATCCCAAATTACTATGGGAGAACTGTGTCAGTGCAACCTGATTTTTAATCGTTTTTATTTACCAACTAACATCAATTTGTGGTAAATAGATCATTTTTATATTGTTTATGATTTCGTTTAAAAAAAGTTAGATTATAAAAAACGAAATCTGTGCTAAACATAATGTATATATGTAATAAAATGAATGCATACATTATACAAAGTGATAGGTAGGAAGTTTTTATAAGAGAAAAATAGAATAAAAAAGAAAATAGCAAAGACAACAGCTGTATCTAAACAAATAATCAGGAATGAAAATAAAGTACATATATATCTATTATATGAGGAACTGCATCGGTAAACATTTTCAACTGTTCATTGATAATACTATTACATGAATTGAGAAAAAAACTTGAGTAGAATTTCACTCATTTCTATTAAGGTAATATGACAAGACGAGATATATGTGGAGGAAATTTTACCGAAATTATTCAATTTTATTAAGGACACTCTATACGATTTCATAAAAGTATATGGTTGTACAGTAGAAACAAAACTGATATATATATATATATATATATATATATATATATATATATATATATATATATATATATACGATATACAGATTTAGCAGTCAAGTTAATCCTTTCACACACTTTCAATTTAACAGAAATATAAAAATGAAAAATTGGATAATTATCAAATCGAAAAAGTATGTATATCAATATATTCTGAAATGAATAAATCAATGAAATAGAAGGCAATGAAACAGTAATAATTATAAGAATATGTTATAATTATTAATGACAAAATTAAAATATATATATTAATGTATATGTGTTCTAGGACGACGTCCCATAGGACCTTGGGGTTTTTGAAATATAAACTGTTTTTCTTCTTGTTTAGGAAATAAAATATCCATTAAATATTGTGTAGTTAGTTCATCGATTTCATCAATTTCAAACTAGATAAAAGGAAAATGAATTTTTTTAAAAAAAAGAATTAATCATAGTGTAAAATAATATACACTAGAAATATATAAAAAGTTGTTCAATTCAATTTTAATACAATATTATAATTCAACTATGATGTTTCCCATTTTAATCTACAATTTTCAGGTAACCATGCGGAAAAAAAACACATTAAATATGCAATGGTACAACATGGTAGTGTATGCTGAATATTCATTGAAAAGTTTTCGAAACCATAATGTGGTACTGACAGGTAAGCTACTAAATATCATTTGAGTACCTATAGTGTAGTGGGCGCTACTCAAAAGGATGTTTGTAAGTAGTGTATAGCGAAACGTGGTGTCGAAGTTACAACACTTGTCAGACGGAGTGAAAAGTTTCAGTGCATCGAAAGCACGGCATTGTTGTAACATGTAGAGGCCAGACGAGAAGATAGTTCATGCCACAAAACACACTGAAAGATTAAAGGCTATGTAAATGTATTGTGTAAATACTTTGTGACACGATAAAAATACATTCCTCCTGCCTATTGTTTTGTTTTACAATAGCAACGAACTTCTTTGTAATTTCAAATGGGGTGTAAATAAAAACATCTTAACTATCTGCCTGTTGTTAAATCGCCAAGTCGATAAAATGAAAGTTTGGAATATATTATGGAAAAATAATGATAAGTTAACAAGATAAAAACTATAAATCTCCATTAACCATTATCCTTGTAAAGTGATTAATCTATAACAATCATTTGTATCAAATGAACTGATACACCGATTGAAAAGAAAACATGCAATAAATTATGGGAATACTAAAGACAAACTAGCTATTAGTGTAAATTTCACTGAAAATATATTAGTGTTATGATCTCTGAGTGAAACGTTCAACATCGTTATGAACAACAACAGTATTTACTTCGTATATGTTGGCTGATTGAAGTTACTAAAGAGACAGGGATTTATACATAGAAATAATAAACATAATACTTTCAATTTCAATTAGGTGGAGTAGTTTTCTTTACTCTTTATCTTCCCATATAATCTGAACAGATAGATGCAATATTCCGAATATACTCCTTTTTTTAGAAATCTGTTAATATGAGGGGTAACAAAGTGTCCCTGATCTTAGACTAATAAACTATTTAACCAGTTAATGAATCTATGACGAGAAAATAGTAATAAATACCACTGATCAGATACACAATCAATATTTTATTCATCTTCTAGTTTGTGTTATTAAAGAAACCATAGATCAGTCGGTAAATAACCATCAAGATCTTAACATTATCGAAAGTGGCATAAAATACTAAACTATCTCTTTAAATAAATCAGTCTAACTAAAATCATCTGCGGTTCAGCAGTGCTAAATTTAAATAGGATAATTGTACGATAGCTATAAAGATTAGCTTTCTTATTCATTTAAGAAGGGAATAGTACCATCATTATTGTAGTAAGGCGAAATGAAGAAATAAAAAGATACCCAAAACAAATTATTTCTTAATATCTATTTATTAATTTATATTTTTTTTAAAAACATACAGATAACAAACAGTTTGACTAAAGTGGAGTTAATTTATTCGTTTTTATTTATCACTTTTTTAAAGTTCGGGTTTAAACAAATTATGAAACAGCATATTAAGCCAATACTCAATTGGGTATTGGACCAGTGACATAAAATTAGAAAAGATAAAGATCTGTTTTGTAAGGGCTGCAAACTGTCCTTAAGAAATATCAAGGAAAAAACCTGAACACCAAGGTTCAGATGGACAACACCGAGTATAAACCAATCTCGTGCGACATGAAATTCAAGAAATGAACAGGAATGTCGAAAGACTGGTAGATATATATGCTTTAAATGTATAATGATTGTATGCGAACATTCTATCTGATGACTGAAGAAAATATTAGTTAGAAAAATTAGTAGCGTAAAAACTGAAACTGATGTTTTACATTAACAATTGATTCCTAAATCCGTTTTAACTTTCTTCGTTTTTCCTCTCTACCATTGTTCTTATAGTAGTTTCAACTAAAGTTGTGTAACATTTATGCATAGTAAACCATTCTGCAGTGAATGATTTCTTCAATTTTTCTTTAAAAAAAGGAGAATGTTCACAAGAAACAAATCCGATAGTCGGAACATCAATAATAGATGGGAATGCTAAGTAATAAAACAATAAAATTAGAAAATAATTATTTCAGGCTTAAATAAGTACATCAATATCTCTATACAAATCAACACAAAAAAACGAGCAAAATGTATTCAGTTACCATGGCATCAAATTAAATAATCATATTTGTACTATAATCTCAAAAGTACACTTCTACATTTCCCACAACTTCAATAACAGACAACAGATAAATCCAGGAAATAAAATGAAGAACATACATACAAATACAGTAGTAAAAAATTCCATTTTGGTTTATTAATGCAAGTAAGTTTTATGTAACACGCCTAAGTTGAGTAGTACGAAAGCAGATAAACGGCAAAACTTAGACACTTCATTTACAGGGAATTAATCTCAACTGTATTAGTTTCTACTTAAGACAAAAGGTGGATAAGTACTTTTTAAACAGCAAATGATGCTGTCAATTATAAATTTATAAGTTACAAATATAGAATTCCAAAAGAAAATGAGGTTAAGTACTATTCAAAAACCACACCCAATCTAATATATATATATATATATATATATATATATATATAGAGAGAGAGAGAGAGAGAGAGAGAGATGTAAATAACTGGATATTAGGATTAGATGCTCACCAAGAGCTTTGAGGGTGCTGAATTTTATTCTCGGTGGAGTCATGCATGTACACTAGTGAGGAACCCCATGATAGGAGAAAACAACATACTAGTGCATCATGGTTCTCAACGACTCTTTAACCAAGACAAGCCTGTGACGCAAAACGGTGAAAAATTTGGTGTAAACTCGAAATTAAGGTTAGGAGGTAAGAAATGTTAATATTAACACGCTTTGTCAACCAGATTAATGGGACATAAACGTTGAGTTGTTTTTGTAGACGAGTTGGTTTGTATCGAAACCATTAGTAATACGACATTCAAGTAACAAAAAGCTAACTATGTATGAACAAGGTACAAATAATCATGTTGGTAAGTAGTTTGCAGCTAATTAATTAAAACTTTTGAAACCAATTAATGTTTTTAGTATATTCGGTCTATCTCTGGTGATAGAATCCGCAACACAATATATAGACGCAATCTGACCAGGATCCACACGGTAACAAAAGCTGATCAATCGCAGTCTTACAAACAAACGATGGGAAATTACAAACGCTTAACTAAGTAACGCTTTGCTTAGAAAAGTATTTAAAATTATGAAAAAAATGGTAAGATATTGTCAACATGTTTGATATGAAAGTAAAGTGTGTCGATCTATATTTCTTTAGAATTTAATCTGACATTCCTTAAAAATTAACTCTTAAATTATTAGGCAGAATATTGATTCATTTAGTCTAAAAAACAAACAAACAAAAGTCAGATTAAAAATGGAAAATACATCAGTGAATTTTAATGATCATTAGTCTGATTCCAATAAAAATACTATGCTTGTGAAATAATGCAAATAACTGGAGAATTTTTCGTTATAAGTATCGAACAAAATAATTTTGTTGCTCAGCATACGTATCTAACTAAAATCAGGTTTATGTAATGTTTAAACCACTGGGATTCGTATGTTAGAAAGCAGCTGATAAATGTTGGTTGGACAGAATATGATTTCTATTCCAAGAAAATTGAAACAAACAGTATGAACCAACTTTATTAAAATTAATTAACCTATTGAACGGAAATCCATACAATGACTAAAAGTAGAATGTTCAATTGGTAAATTTAATGCGAGGAGAGAAGCATGCTTCAAATAAAAGAAAACAGATATGAAATATTCATATAATCACAAGCAAATGCAAAATATGAATTCCCACCTTCTTAACCAGTAAACTTACACACCTGCAAGCGCTAAAATAACAATGATGTATATAAATGAAGAAGAAAATCCAGAATTTGAAAGATAAAAATTAAATACATTTGCATCTATTGAGGGACATCAACTAGTTTCTAACAAATAATCTTTGTAATTTCAACAATCACGTCCAGAGAGTTTATATCTTCTTACAATTTTTGAACTATCAACTACTGCCGTCACGAACTCATAGAACACCTCATTTTGTTCGACTTAATTTTATTACAACTAGCATCATAAAATGAAGTAGATGCTGAATTGTATGGTTCCGTACCCTTATTAATCGACTTCTTTACACTGTTTAGCACTCTATCCATAACTTTAACATCAAATGCAACCAGTGCTTTAAAAACATACTTGTATCTGGATTTCTGACATTAACTTTAAGTGATCTCGCAGGTGCAGGTACAGCAATGAGTTTTAAAGCAGAAAGTTTTAGTTAACAGTCACCAGCGCACTTTCGACCGAATCACGTTGTAAAAATATGGGACTGCGATACACACTGTTGTCTATTTATATTCTATGGCCAGACTCCAACTAACTCCAAGCAAGATGAGTCCTACTAAGAACCATATAATCTCCTGTAAGTTATTGAACACTAAGATGTGACTGTAAAGAGCCATTTTAAGCAACAAATAGACTGAATAAGCCAAGATAACATTCGACTTTCGAACATTTTATTCCTGAAAACAAATATAGTTATTCGCTGAAACTATATCTTGAAGACTGTTAAGTTCTATTGAGTACTAACTGGCCTATCACAATACCTAGTTTAACAACAGATAGTGAAAAAAGTTGAGTGTTGTTGTACTCTGGTAATGAACAACAGAATACTCCCTCCCCATACACATAAGGAGTTGTATAGATCCTGTCCAAAGAAGAACAAAAAGTACTCATTGGATGGGAAACCTAAAGCTCCAAGATCGTCAAAACAAAAAAGAAGGAATTACGATGAATGTTATCTAGTATCACGCATTTGCCAATGAAAGTAGAAAAGATAAAGATCTGTTTTGTAAGGGCTGC